AGAATACAACAGTTACTAATAGGGCATTATGTAAAAAGGTGAATGTGTAACTGATGTGATTCTGCAATCTGTATTTGGGGTAAAAATGGGAGTTCATAACTCACTTGAAACTAATGTCTGAAATATGATATGTCAAGAGCCGTGTAAGGTTTTGAACAACCAATAAAAAAAAACAAAAAACAAAACAAAAAAAAACTTTACCTAAGAATTAAAAATTCTCTGTTACATTAAAATCCCCAGATCTGGTAAAAGTATAATGACAATATGATGCAGCTCAATGTCAATTTATTGTTTTTCAGCTTCATATCTATCCTTAGSTATAGGTTGGTTTGCATTCTGTAGACCACATTTCTGCAGGTAAGGGAGCTGGATTCCTTTAGGCTCAGCCAATGAAGGGCCCAAGGAGGAAATAGCAAGACCTGTAGGAAAAGGGACTTGCTTCTCTTTGTTTTCACTTCCTGCTCTTCTGAGCASTACTCTGACCTTGTTTCTTCACCTTGGCAGCAGCAATTCATTCCAGTAGCTGCAGCCAGAATCTAGTTGGAGTCATTTTGCAACACTTACAGAGTTCCCTCCACTTTCCCTCTGAGATATCTGCACCTGCAGACTATGCCCCTTCCTCAGAAATCCACACAGGGACAGCTGCACTGACTGAGAAGAACTACTTGGCCATACTTTCAGCTCTGCAAGACCCTTYTTCTACAATACCGTTTTCTTTTTCTTATTTTGAGATGGGGTCTCACTATTGCCCAGGCTGGTCTTGACTTCCTACGCTCAAGCCATTTTTTCCAGTAGCTGGGATTACAGGTGTATGGCACCATACCCGATTTTCCCTACATTTTGATAATTCCAAAATTTTCCTTTGTTTCCCCAACCTTAGAGATGGTATCTGACTCCATTATAGAAGGGTGTTTCCTTCTTGCCTTTTCAGTTCTTTAATTCCTAGTTAGAAAGTTTTTATATGAAGTGATCCCAGTTAAACGTAACTAGTGCCATTTTGTTTTCTTGACTTAAACAAAGTAACATGGGGTTAATGGAAATAGCTGAGTGCCCCACACCCCTCCATGTGTATTCTGCTGCAGCTGGAATGCTCTGGGGAGTAGGTTAAGAGAAAATTTTCGATGCAAACAGGTTAATCCAGAGGGTCACAATGTACTATTATGGAAGGATGCCTGACCAACCAACCAGCTTATTTCTCAGTTATATGAACTTTGCAATATGAATATCCATATAAGAAACACTTTCATGACCATCAATGGTTACTGTTAGTTGTTACTAGTAGTTAACATTGATTAGGCATTAATATACACCAGGCATAATGCTGATCCCTACACATGTTCCCTCATTTAATCCTCAGCACAAATTTGTGTTGGAAATTAACTTCATGCTCACCTAACAGATGAGACAACAGGTTGTGGTTTTAAATGATTTGCCCAAGTTTGCACTGCTACTAAAAAGAGTTTTTAAAAATTTAACCATCAGTACAAGCCAAGTGTAATTTAGGAGGAATCACTCTGGATAAAACTGTTGTAGTGACTTTGTAGACTATTTCTCTCATCTACCCACTCCATTCTGTTTTCCTTTTTGTGGGATTCTGTGTTTACAGGGAGCTCTTGAGTATATACACTGATAGCAGATGCTTATGTCTTTTTAAGCCAAGTGCAAAACATGAAAAATAAACTAATGAAAGCACAGACTGTTCAGATAGTCTGTTAACAGTACAGTCACACTGATCTATTGCACACTGAGAAGCCAAACAGATTGTGCAGAAGACAAACAAATGTTTGAAAATCATTCAGAGTTAGCTTTTTTTTTTTTTTTTTGTGCAGTGGAGAGTTAACTGAAAGCTTCAAGCTCTATAATTATTTGCCTGCTTAAGGCTCTTGCTCTTTGTAAGATCGATCTATCTTACCTATCAGCTATTTTTCTGAGCTGTCATTTGGAAGTAGTAAAATATAGATCTTGTCTTCTCTTTAAAGATGAGAAGATGGAAAACCTGACTGGTCCCCAAATCTATAATTGTTATCAGACCTTGGGTCTCCTGCCTTCTAAAGCAGGACTCCATTTTAGGAATAAATTTTTAAGGGTGCAAGGAAGTCACATGATACAAAACAGTTAAGAGGCTAGAACAATTTCATATTGACAGACTGTAAGACAATGTGTGTTAATAGAAATTAGGACAATGTGCTGCACCCTGAAAAAATAAAGCTGTAATAGAAAATGCCTACTATACAAAAGTGTAGACTGTTTCGATATTATCTTTTCACAATAGTAAGTAGGACTATTTTAACGCTGATAGACATTCATATCACTTTAATAACAAGTTATTATAAGTTATTACTTAAACTCTTATATTTTGTAGAAATCATAAGTGATTTGAGAAAAATTATTCTTAAATATAAATTTTTGTCCATAGATGTAACTAGTAAAATACTTTGCTTAACCCCGTAGTTTGGACATAGTAATAATTACTGTTGTAGCTCTTACTCCCAAGTAGGTAAGGCTGTGTCCTTATTTTATATCATAGACTAACATTGCTTCTCCTCTGTTTTGTACATTCACACAGTGGATTATTGAATTAAAACAAATACCCAGGTTATGATTGTAGTTCTGTCACTAACTGGCTGGGTGACCTTGGGAAAATGCATCTCCTTAAATGTAGAGAGATGCAATAATAATAAAAATTGAGTATCCACTATGTGTGAGGTTTACTCATAGTCCCTGAAGATACAAAGATAAGCAAAGGTTAACATTGTTGGAGCCCTCATGGAAGAGGGAAGGCAAATGTGAATCAAATAAAGTCACTGCAGAAAGAATTATTGCAGYACAAATTTGGAAAAGTGCTGAGAAGAAACAATGTTGGGGGCTGAGAGAGAGAAACAGAAGAATCTAATTTAATCTGGGAGTGGTGTTCATGCTGAGATCTGAAGGATGAAGTCAAGTGAACTAGGCAGTGGAGGGAGGTGTGAGGAGATGGAACAGCACAGAGAAAGGACCTGAGGCAGGAAGGAACATCGTGTTCTCACAGAACTGAATAGGACCTGCGCAGCTGGAACAGAGAGGATATAACCTTTTCAATCGATCCCAAGATTCCTTCCCTTTTAAAATGTCTATTGAAAATTATTYTTTCCAGGTTTGCATTCTTATTTGGATTTTTTTTTGCTTTAGTAGTACTTATAATTAAACATTTACTAATGACTTAAAAGATATTTACCTCTGTTTTCCCCCAAAGACCTTTCTACAGTTGGTCYTTGGGTTGCATATCTTATATACGCATGTTATCGGTGTTTAGTTAAATAACACCAATTGTCCAACAACACAAATTAGTTTTCCGTTACCACAACATATAACCTATGAGTAATTTTATAAAGTGCAATCTTTGCTGCTAACTTTTCCATCCACAAATGACTATGTGTGAATAGCAAATGTGCATCATGACCAAAGACCAATCATGTCACCGAGTCTGTAAAAGATTGGTTGCTGTTCATGTTATTTAGTTCATACACAGATAGCAATCAGGTAGTTGTCATGCCTCCTTGTCTCTCAATGATAAACTCATGTGGCATTTTACAAAAACGAATAATCACACCGAAGAGTGATGATACTGGAAGTGAATTTCAAATTCAGWTGTAAATGGAATTATTAAAAAAAATAGATGGTCATAGGGATGTTGACACTTTTCCATTTGAGGGACTCTAGATATAGAACCAAAGGAAATTGATAAAGCAAGTTTATTAKCATAAGTGAGGAAAATGGGTGTAATGAGATGAAAGGAGATGAAGATATGGAGAGGAAGCCATGGTGGAAAAGAACCATCCACTGAAGGAACTCTCAGAGATAGTTCACAACATGGGTAGGATGTCGAACTGATCCAACCTCAGAAAGAAGGAGGGCTGTTCATCAAGGCTTAAAACAGGTACTTGCTCCACAGCCTAAGTTTTGCAATGAAAAGAAGGCACGCACTATTTGTCTACTTTCGGTAAAATTTTTTACAAAGAAATAAAAAAATTTAATCCTCAAAATTTTACTGTTTTCAATTGTAGTATGCTGAATCACTATTAGCTTTACTGCAAAGCCCTCTGCACTTATAGGGCAGACAGTAAAAGTGTTTTAAAAGTTTTAACAAAAAATTCAAAGGTCATAAGAAAAGTCTATTTTTTTTTTTAACCATTGATCACTAACAACATTTTGCCTGACTTTAGCTTGGATGATTGCTTTTATGGTGCCATACTATCATGCATAGCAGGAATGGTCTGTAAATTTTATTAACTCTAACCAATATTATAGCCTTTTCAACGTGTCATGAAAGTAAATATATTTTAGAAGGTTGGAATCATTTTCAGAATTAATGAAACTCTCARTCTTGAAAATTCTAAGTCAACAACAGACCTGGAAAATAATTAGTTAACTAAATCCTTAAAATGTTAACCAAATATTAGAAATAAAATTTTCTGATTAAGCRCCTCCAAAGTCCTAAATTTTCAAGATCTRCTATATTTCAGTAGGAGTGAGGAAAATAGAAAAATCTGTCTATCTTCCATTCCATTTAGACTTCATGTGTTATATTTAACTATAAACAGAATAAAAACATTTTAAAAAATAAAAATAAAAATTACTTAATAATTTCAARAAATACTATATTTAACACTTCATTCAAGAGCATCTGTGAATRAAATGCACAAAATAGTTAAAGATGACTCAAATCATAGGGAAATAAGAAAGAAAAATTCACATACCGATTGTAGAAATCATCTCTGTAGTAATCATAGTCAAAGACATAACCGCTAAGGAGGAAAATAAAAAAAAATTAGTTGGCATTTGTTTCAATCACATTAATTTTGATACTAACTTATGACGTTATAGCAAGACATTGATGCTCCTTTTTAAATACTTATTTTCAATATAATTATGTATCCAAAGGACTTTACAAGACAATTCCATTTTGACATATCATGTCAAATTATTAGTACAKGTTTGACCACTTAGAGACTGATAATGGTTTGAATGATTTGGATGAGAGGATTTGGAATAGAGAATGAGAGCAAGTAACAAAATAAATATATATATTTTTAACACTTGTAGTTAAAAAAAAAGAACCACCATTTTTTCCCTCTAGACAAGATATAATATGATTGTCCCTTCTTTTTAAGGCAATTTACTTCTTTTGCCTASGCTATGTGCAGTGAGGCTAGACAATGAACAAAAGGCATTAAAGTAAATGGAAAGGTCTAATGATCCCTTTATTGTAGTWAAGGGTTAATGAAAACATAGAAATACAGCATTAGTTTTTCATTCTAAGGACTGTGGATTTAGTGCTTTAAATTGACAAAAATAACTAATGAAAAAAAAAACCCTTGGCTGAGTCTTAACAACAATAACTTAATTTATCAGGATATTTAAATGAGAATTAATAACTGCATTTTGGTGATAAGATTATAATGACAAATCTCCCTAAAGGAATATATAATAAAAATTGCMTACATCCACTTGCATCATTGTTTGCATTTATGAAGCACCTTATTTGCATTTTAATTCTCATYCTGTATGGTGTAAATGAAAGAGACTAAGGTGTGAACATCCTAAGTGACACACTCACACTTTTGTTACTAATGAGTGACTGGATTGAGATTGGAGAAAAAGTCTTCTGAAGCCATATCTGGGGCTGTTTTTACTACTTCTTGCCACCCCTTGAACTTGGCAAAAAACCCTAAATCTTAAGATCAATGGAGTATCTTATACCAGAGTGAAAAMTTATTTTTAGTTCTTATTTGTTCATTTATTTTTAATTGCGGTAAAATATACAGAGCATGAAAGGGATCATCTCTTACGTCCTTAAGCATACAATTCAGGAAGATTAAAGACATTCACAAAGTTGTATAAACCTCAATTTCAAGAACTTCTCTCTCATTTCAAACAATAACTTTGAACTTTATTAAGTAATAACCTCCTATTTCCGATTCCCCTGGGTAAAATCTATTCTACTTTGYCTCTATGACTTTGCCTGTTTTAGATACTATACAAATAGATACTATACAAATCATGAAATAATACAAATACAGACCATACAATCACATAGTTATATCATATTTCTGTTTTTTTGCCTGACTTATTCCATTTAGCATAATATTTTAAGGTTCAYCCATATGTAGTGCAAATCAGAATTTCACTCCAATTTAAGACTGAGTAATATTCCATATTTTGGTTATATTATCATCTATCAATATACATTTTGGTTGTTTCTGCACTTTGATGATTATGAATAATGTTGCTATGATCTTTGATGTGAAAGTGAGTCTTTGCTTCCATTTTGTTTGSGTTTATATCTAGAAGCAGAATTGCTGAGTCATATGSTAAWTCTATGTTTAAATTTTTGAAGAGCCGTCACAAGACAGAGGGATAATTTTATATTTTCAAATCAATTTACTGGTACTTTACTTTGTAATTTTTTCCTTGTTAGGAAAACTGAAAGAACTATATTAAGAATGGATTATTATTCTTGGTTTTAAGGATAAGTGTATTTATTCATCCTCATTACATTTGGGGAGAAAGGGCCTGATGTGGCATACTTAATGAATGAGAGTTAGTTTTGGTACCATCTCATGAAACATATAATATTTGAGTTTAAGTACTGAAATGTAAAGTGGGTGYCTATTCTAGGTATCTGGATGGAGGATCTAGCATTTTCTGGCCAAAGAAATACTGTGTCTATCTTTGCAAATCAAGGAGGACAAAGAGATCATTGTCTAAAGAGTAGGAACAAAAATATCCACTTTWGTCTGATAGTCACAGATTGTTAAAGCAGTAATGGTGTATGTTTTAATTTATATTGCTGGTGTAGACACAATTCTGATGTGGAGCTGAGAGACTTTTTCAGAATTTCTCGGTGGGAAGCTGACTACTGAAACCTGCTCAGTTGATGCTAACCCCTGTTAAGCGTGAGAATTCTGTACCTGGCACAGAATTCTTCAGCTCATAAATTTGAGTTCACATGCCAGCTCCAGGGATAGAAGACTCTGAGCATAGCAAGATTACTACAATGTTTCACCAGTGCTGTAAGCTTCAAGCCTGTAAGCTTTGAACAATGGGATTCTTGGGTGCCACAGGAAGCCCCAAGCATTGCAACAGTGAAATAGCTACAAGAATGTTTCTAGCCCTGAAACTTTCAAAAGCACAAAGAACAATACTTATATAGTCCTTAATTTTTTAATTATGAGATCCTCATAAATAAACTTGCTGGGCCAGGTCTTCAGCCACTGTTTCCTCCATCAGAGTGCAGTGTTTCACTTGATCCCGGCTTATTCTCGATTTTTCCCCGCCCCCCTCTCTCTCTGTGGGTGTGTTTTTCCTAATCTCCCATCACCCCTCACTGATTTCTCAAGCTCAACKGTGCAGGTTGTGGCAACCATCAAATCCTGATGTATGAATATTCCCTCAAAATCTTCCTGATAAATCATTACATGTGCTTCTTTCTTTGATATTCACTTATTTCTGCAGGTAATAAGTGATACGAGTGACACTAGCCAAATGCTATTGCTGGGAAGCCTCAAGTATAAAGATAGGGCTCATCTTATATTTATTACTCATGAGTAATTATCATTGTGTTTTATGTTTGATTACTTTTAAGAATGTGTTCACAGAAGACAAAAGGATGTACAATATCAATCATGTTAAGATAGCACCAATGAGCTTTCCAACAATCAAAGAAAAAAAAACAGTCAAAAGCAGTGTAGTATTTTAAGAACTTTGCAAAGAGTTAATTTATGACGTRTAATATCTAGAGAGAAAAATGCTTTAGTTTGAAACCCTATTCTTGATGCTTTTATATACAATCCTCTTTAACCTGAACATCAGTCTATAAGATGCGTAGTATTCTCCCAGTTTTACAAGACATTGGTGTCTAGAGTTGCTAAATATCTGAGATAACACAGTTAAATGTTACAAGGTAGCATAGTCATTCGKATGTTTATTCAACATGTGTCAGGAACTTTCCTAGGCACTTAGGATTAGAAGTATAACACTTTTCTCTTTGTATGAATCTCATTATATAGTTATACACCAAGATGGACTCAACCTCTCTCTCAGCATRACTATAGATAGTTTTCTTCCTGACTACAAGCTCCTGACTTTCCCTCTTTTGAAGCATTTACTTTAGAAAACTTTCAATTGTAAAAATTTTCACTGCTCCTTTGACATGCAAATCTTTTCCTAAACTCCCCTGGATTTACAGCCCAGGAATATCAACCTGGAAGCTATTCCTTGGAAATGTGATTACCAAGGAAGATATCTCTCCTTAACCAACCTCCACCTCTCTTCTAATTTCCCCAGCCTCTCATAACCACTATTCTACTCTCCATGTCTCTGAGATCAACTCTTTTAACTTCTACATGTGATAGGAGGGATAAGTTTTAGTGTGCTATAGCAGAATAGAATGATTTAGTTACTAGTAACTTCCTATGTGTTTCAAAATAGCTGGAAGAGAGGATTTTGAAKGTTTTCATCATAAAAATAATGATAAATGTTTGAGGCGATGGATATGCTAAKTACCCTGGTTTGATCATTACACATTGTCTCCATGTATTGGAATATCATACTACACCACATGCATAAGTATAATTATTATGTATCATTTCAAAAATAAAAAAGAAAGATATCTCTCAGTCACTGTGTAGGAGYCCAACTTGGAAGAACACCAATTATTAAACACATGTCGAATCACATAGACCAAATTCCCTGAGAGTTTCCTCTAGAACTTCTTCCTCTCAATAGTATTCTCCCTTTTGTCCTTTTGTCCACTCTAGCTCTTAAAAACTCTTCCTCCTTTTGTTTTAGTGGAGTTGAATTCAATTTCTGTCCTCTATGGCAATATTCTTAAAGAAAGTCTTCACTGACTAACTTTTGTGGTACAATTTTTCTTTGACAGTGTTGCAGACAGAAAATAAATAATATAAAACCAAATAATCAGAAGGGAACAAATGAGGTGGACAGAAACAGAGATTGAGTGAAAACTATAAAAGGGGATTGCTGAGGGCTGGACTCACTGAGGAGATGACATACAAATATGAGACTTGAAAAACAGGAAAGGTCCTACCATGAACTGGGGACAGAGAACAGTGGGCTCAAAGGCACAAGTCAGGAAAGACCTTGAGAAATTCAATAATGTAAGAAGGTCATTTCAGGGCTACTGCCCTTCTGCAGACCATAAATAACAGTGTCTTGGGCGTACCCTGATGCAAAAGAGATGGAATGGTATAGAGAGATTCAAGACATGTGTTTTTCTTTTTTCTTTCTTTTTTTTTTTTGGTGGCTTAAAGAACTGGGGAGATTATATTATCCTTTTTGAACAGAAGAAGATTGGGAGGAAGAGGTTCTAGAGGAAACTGTCAGGATGAGTTTGGGGCATGATAGTATTTGAATGCTTATGACATAGTTAAGAAACACTTTCAGGGGAAATTGCATATTATCTGAGAGGAGCCCCCAAAGATAGGGCTTGCTGGGGAAATAATTCTGGGTGTAAGCATATTGATAGTAATGAAGCTATGGAAAAGTTGAGGTGTTCTTTGGGAGTAAGTGTAGAGAAAGAAGGCTGTTCATGTGGATTCTAGGCCTTAGACATCAAGAAAAGGAGGAGGAGACAGCAAAGAATCTAGGTCATATATGTGCAAGAAATGAACTGAAAAATAGCTTCTGTGTGGACTCCAGCTTGCCACTTACTAGATATGACATTGAACCACCTGCTTAATCTTTCWGAACCTCCTTTGCAAAATGGGATAAGGAACCACCTTCT